TTTGATTTCCCTTCTTCTGTTCTTTCCAGCTGCTTTTCTCTCGGGATCACACCCACACAGGTACCTGACTGCTCCTTTTCCAGGCCCCAATCCCAAAAAATCGCACTCAGAGGGCGCTGAGTGTGTCCCCTCCCGTGGTGTGTTCTCTGGGAATTCCGGCCTGGATGGGACTCTCCTGTCCCCTCTTCCTGACCCAGATCCAGGCTCGGGATCCCTCCTGCTCCTTCCTGTGGCGCTAATTCCTTCTAAACCCCGGAGCTGAGGCTCAATCCCTCTTTCCCACTTTCCTGCTGCTTAGGAATTCCTTGCTTGGGATCCTGGGGGATCCTGTGGGAATTCCCATGGTGTTTGTGGATGTAGGACAGCCCAGTTTTCCCTGTTTGTGCCGACAGTTTGGAGCCTTTCCTGCTCACATCCCTAAAAATGTGTCTGGTGGCTTCTGTAGAGCTTGTGTTTGGAAGGGTTGGGTGGAAAATCCCAGGGTTTTCATGGAATTCCAGGCTGGTTTGGGGTGGGAAGGACCTTAAAGCCCATCCAGTGCCGTGGACAGGGACACCTCCCACTGTCCCAGGTTGCTCCAAGTTTATCCAGCCTGGGCTTGGACACTTCCAGGGATGGGACATCCTCTGGGAATTCCATCCCAGCCCCCTCCCAGGGAGGAGTTCCCTCCCAATATCCCATCCATCCCTCCCTCTGGCAGTGGGAAGCCATTCCCTGTGTCCTGTCCCTCCATCCCTTGTCCCCAGCCCCTCTCCAGCTCTCCTGGAGCCCCCTTAGGCCCTGGGAGGGGCTCCAAGGTCTCCCTGGAGCCTTCCCTTCTCCAGGGGAACATTCCCAGCTCCAGTGCTTGGATCCCCTGGAGCAGGGACCTTCCATGCAGTTTCCTGGGAGAACAGCAGCGTTTTGCCTTCGGAGTTTCACCCAGAGATGCCCAAACCCTTCCCATCTCCGGGGGGTCTCTGCAGCTCCTGGATTCCATCCAGGGAATCCCGTGGATCAGCAGGAGCGTCTCCAGCTGCCGCTCCCGGTGCTTCCAAACCCCGCGGGGCTGGAGGCTCCTCCCGCCCTCCTTCGGAAGGGAGGGAAGAGGCTCCTTCCCAATCCCACCCTGGATCACGTAACAGGGCCCCAGGCACGTCCCAGAGGGAATGTTTTCTGTGGGGAAACCCTGGAACTCTGCTTGACATTCCATGAATGAGGCAGCCCAGGGGCTGGAATTCGGATGGGCCGAGTTCTCCTCCGTCACGGATCCTGGAGAATCCCCTGGAATCTCCGAGATTCCCACCTTCCCTCTGGCCCGGGGGGTTTGTGGGACAGGGAAGGTGGGACCTGCTTTGGCATCCTGGGATCCCACCCTGGGCAGCTCCCTATGGAACAAATCCATCGTCAGGACTCCGTAACAACGCTTTCACCTGGATTAATTAATTCCCATTCCAACCTGGGCTCTCCTCAGAATATCTGGGAGAGCAGGGGGTTGGAATCTCCCAGGACACTCATCTTTTAATGAGGAATTAACTCCATTTCTGCCAGAATTCCCGGGGCAGCTCCAGCCTGGAAAGCTCCGGTTGGATTTCCGGGCATGAGCCACTTCTTTAATCCTGGGAATCCCACCCCAGCTCCCGGCAGGAGCTCCCAGGGAACCACATTCCCACTCATTCCAATCCCTGGGAGGAGCTTTGGGGATCCCGGACAAACCAAGGGGTTGTTGCCAAGGAAACAGGAGAGGGAACAAAATCCACGTTCCCTGGGGGATCAGGAGCTCCGGGGGGTGATTCCAGCTTGGAACTGCTCCAGAGGATCTGGGAATGGTTTGGGTGGAAGAGGAATTAAAGCCCATCCAGTGCTGTGGGCAGGGGCACCTCCCACTGTCCCAGGGCACTCCAAGGTTATCCAGCCTGGCCTTGGACACTTCCAGGGATGGGACATCCTCTGGGAATTCCATCCCAGCCCCTCCCCTCCCTCCCAGTGAAGGACTCCTTCCCAATATCCCGATATCCCATCCAACCCTCCGGCAGCGGGAAGCCATTCCCTGCGTCCTGTGGAACAAAACAGGAATTCTGCTTCCACGTCCCCTGTGCTGCAAAGGGAATTTCCCCTCCCCTCTCCCGAGGGAAGCCGGGCCTCGTTGTCCCCGAATTCCCCCCAGGAATGCCCCGGGGGCGGGGGGGCTGAGCTGGTTCTCCCGCCTTTCCCAGGATGTTCGACGTGGGCGGGCAGAGGTCGGAGCGGAAGAAGTGGATCCACTGCTTCGAGGGCGTCACGGCCATCATCTTCTGCGTGGCCCTCAGCGACTACGACCTGGTGCTGGCCGAGGACGAGGAGATGGTACGGGATTGTGGGAGCGTGGGATTGTGGGAGCGTGGGATTGTGGGACTGTGGGAGCACAGGATCGGGGGAGTTGAGAGCGCCTGGAATGGCCCACGGCAACTGCTCCGGTGTGGGCCCCTTCCCATGGGTCAGTCCCTCAGGAACTGCTCCAGGTCCTTCCATGGGATCAGTCCCTCAGGAACTGCTCCAACCTGGATCCCTTTTCATGGGATCAATCCAGGTTCCTTTCCATGGGTCAGTCCTTCAGGAACTGCTCCAGCTCCTTCCATGGGCTCAATCCAGGTCCCTTTCCATGGGGTCAGTCCCTTGGGAGCTGCTCCAAGTCTTCCCATGGTTCAGTCCTTCAGGAACTGTTCCAACCTGGATCCCTTTCCATGGGGTCAGTCCCTCAGGAACTGCTCCAACCTGGATCCCTTTCCATGGGATCAGTCCCTCAGGAACTGCTCCAGCTCCTTCCATGGGCTCAATCCAGGTTCCTTTCCATGGGTCAGTCCCTCTGGAGTTGCCCCACTGTGGCTCCCTTTCCCTGGGCTCCGCCTTGGCCGGTGGCAGATCCATCCTGGAGCCGCTGCCCTTGGCTCTGCTGGGCATGGAAAACCCTCGGGAGTTTCCCGCAGGAGCCACCCCATGACCCCCCCCCCGGATTGGGGCCAATTCCTCCCTGGATCCACCTGGGAGTGACAAACATTCCCAGGCCTGGGGGTGTCCCCACAGCCCCTTCCTTGGCCTGGGCTCCTTCCGGGGGGACGGGGCTCCTGGGAAGGAGGTGGCACTCCAGTGTCCCTTCCCTGATCCCTCCCGTGTCCGTCCCGCTCCAGAACCGGATGCACGAGAGCATGAAGCTCTTCGACAGCATCTGCAACAACAAGTGGTTCACGGACACCTCCATCATCCTCTTCCTCAACAAGAAGGATCTGTTCGAGGAGAAGATCCGCCGCAGCCCCCTCACCATCTGCTACCCCGAGTATCCAGGTACCGGCATCCCC